CACTTATAGAATTTTATGGAAAAGAGACGTTAAAAGAGACATTTGAAGCGATAAAGAGCAGACTGCTGGCAGTACCATAAAATCAAGGGTAAGAGATTTCTTGCCTAGAGAACAATTATGGCAGACATTGGAATGGGGGTTTTGAAAACAAATGGGGAAATGGCCAAAAGAGAGCAATTATGGCGGATGATTCATTGAAAAACAATGTATCACTTTCTGCAGGTACTATGGTGACTCTCGAGGTCAAAAATTATTTTGTTTCCATGTAAAGTGCAATTCCTCAAATCTTTAATTTTCGTGAATTAGGTGACACTATGAGATTGAAAAATGCTTGAAAAACTTCGATGTGAATTGGTACGGGGCCATCGTGAATAAAAAAAAGAAAACTTCTACAAATTGATTGAGTATTATGCCATCTATTTTATGCATAGAAGATTAAGTAAAATAATTGGGAGATGGGCCCAAACATTGGCCTAATCTTTTAATGTTTTGAATTGAAAGTCGTACCAAATATTTGTCTTTATAAGAAAATGAAGCATCTCTATATGATATTCCAAGAAACTATCGAGTGTGTTCTAGAATTAGGCCAACACATTTTTTGCATGTAAGATATAGAATAGGTGGAACGATGAATAATAAAAAGTACACGCTTGCATAATTTTCTTATCTAAAATTTAAGTTAGTTGGACAAAGGAGAGAGCTACTCGCCTTGAACATGTCATATGAAATTAATTATTAATTGTCATATCTAAATTTATTAATTGTTCGAGTTAACTTATCTTGAAGGATCATTATTTGTGAAAATACATAAATAGTAATTGTATCGAAAATTGAAAATAACTGAGCGGCTTGTTTATTATTACTTTCAAGTACTTATAAATTACATAGCATGAAATGCCTGAATAATAAGTGAATAAAAAATTGTGAGTTCTATGAAATATGTTGATAAATAGTGTTTTGACCAATTTAAATTAAAATTTAAGTAAAACCAAACGTACCCCAAATTCGCTAAAGATATATACTAAATAACGGAAGTTAAGGTTTATAGTGTAAAGTTGAAAGATTGACTTATTTTTTAACTACACATTCTTCAAAAAATCACTTTTAATACCTATTTTCGTAAAAATGAAATTCAAATAGGGCTTAACTGGCACACGAGCATTTTGGTACGTCAATTCATCATTTTCCATTAGTTAAAATGGGAATATGTTGATTAAAAGACTAACCATATTTATGAATTATGATGTTTGTTTGGTGTAATTTAGCGATTGTTTGATAGCCTTTAATTTACCTTAATTTATTTTTCGTACTTATTTTTAATCACATATTCACACAATAAAATATTGTACACATAAATTCAAAAATGTTTCCTACTTTTTAACTGTACATTCTCCAAAAAATACAATTCAAAACATAATTTTTGAAAATTAAAGGCAACCAAACACGAGTTTAATAGAATAATGCTATTAGTACATAATGAAATTATATAATTGTTTACATATAGATGATATGTCAAAAAGAGAATGTAAAAGTGTTTTTTTATTTAGTTGAAAAAAATATGACCTAATCATATATCACTATGTCATATGTATATAAATTATTATGTAAATCATTATGTATATGTAGTACAATCGAATTTAAAAATTAATAAAAATTTAAGTTAAAATCAACAATTAATTTTAGATACACATGTTTGAAATTCTACACATTTCATTAATTTTTATTAAAATCTACTAAAGTTTAATTTATAACAATATTAACCCTTATTTGAGTTCCATTTTTTCAAAATTTATTTATAACCACATATTATCTCATAAAATAATATAATACACGTGAATCTAAGCCACTGTTTGGTACAAATTCTTTCAAAATACATTATTTCAAAATTTATTTTCAAACACACATTTTTCAATAAAATAATATTTTTCATCACATCAATACATTTTCCTTACTTTTTAACCACATATTTTCCATCATATTACTATTTAAAATACATTTTTCATTAATAATATCCATCAAACACATCTTAAAACTTTTTTTAATTTTATAATAACATACTTTTCAAAAAATTACTATTTAAAAATATATTTTTCTCAAAATTGCATTTTGATGTAGCTCGAGGGCTTATTAAGATAACAATTTATAATTTAAGGACATCATTCAAACGTAGCTTCTGTTTGGTGGTCTTTAATTTATTTCTTATATTCATTTTCACTTAGGCCCTGTTTGATAGGCATTATTTTTCAGGGAACTAGGAAAATATTTTCCACATTCCAATTTTTTTGTTGTTTGATAAGCGAAATTTTCCACGAAAAGTATTTTCCCACTTTTGCCTACACGTGTGCATTTTCCGACTTTTTGAGGTGGGAAAAAAATTTTCAGGTCGGCTGGAAAAAAATCTCTCTTTTTCTTTTTTTGCAATGGAAACAAATGTCATAACCAATGGTAAATTTTTTTTTTTCATTTTAATGGACATTTTTCATGTAAAACAAAGTCAAACGAACACAAAACTTTGATTAAAAAAATGATTTTTTAGGAAACCATTTTTTCCCTTTTTTTTTTTTTTTNTGATTTTTTAGGAAACCATTTTTTCCCTTTTTTTTTTTTTTTCTTTTTGGCAATGGAAACAAATTTTATAATCAAATATAGAAAAAATTATTACTTTAATAGACACTTTTCATGTAAAACAAAGCCAAACGAATAGAAACTTTAAAAAAATTTCGGGTGGAAAATTATACCAATCAAACACACTTAATTAACAATTCCCTGCAAAATATTTTTTAGGCAATTATTTTCTCTGAAAATCATTTTCTTCCCACCTATTTTCCACCCTTACAATCAAACGCACCCTTACATATTAACACAATAAAATATTTTATTCATTTTCTTTAAAAAATACTATTTAAAACACAGTTCCATTGGGGGCGCAGTGAGCATCCAAGGTTTTACACAAATAAAGAGTGTAGAGACATATTTTAATTTTTAATTGTGAAAGTAGCGTCTACAAGAAACCAACCCCACTCACAATTTGACACGTGTGTGGTGTCAACAAATACTTCCATTAATTGGCGAAAAACGTGTACTCAGATCCCGAGGTACTAATGGAAAATGCGTCCCATTACATCCATGCATTTCACGTTATCAACTATAAGGTAACTACTTTTGTACAATTTACAATTTCCCCCAAATAGTTCCATTAACCTTTGAATCTTCGTGTTTACACGAGGGTTTATTTGTCATGATTTTTACTTTTATTTGACGTATAAGAGTTTTCTAAAAAATTACTTTAATATTACAATTTCTCTCCAAATAGTACCCCGACGTTTAAATTTATGTGTTAATAATATGAATGATCTATGTGATATGATTTTTTCTTTTGCTTTTGGTTCATGAGAAGAGCTTTCCGATGAATCTTCTTAGCCCCTATTTGATTTGAGCCACATTAAAATTTTTATTTTCATTCTTCTACTCATTTTTCAACAAAATAATATTTTTTATCACATCAATTATTTTTCCTTCTTTTTCAACCACACATTCTCTATCAATTTATTATTTCAAAATACAATCTTCCAAAATAATGTGGCTCAAACGCACCCTTAAATTTTGTTTGAAAATTAATTATAAAAAAATGTTTTTATTTCAAAAGTACTTATAGAAAAAATTAATAAATTGGACTAATTTCCTTCAGAAACTCTTCTAATTAGAATAAATACTTCTATGTAATTAGTTAAATGAATTCAGATGCAACTTTTAAATCTCAAAAACTTTTTCTTACTTTTCAAAATTCGTAACAAACGAGGCTAAAGACAAACACGTCTTTCTCGTTTGTGACAAGTTAGTTTCCACTAAATCGGAGTCGATAGATTTTTCTTTTTTTTATTATCTAAAAAAAATAAGATACAAAATGTCAAAATCAATTATTAGAGAAAAGCACAAAATCCAACCATAACCCAACAATTTCTACATAATTTTCCGTTCTCCTTTTGTCTATTTCGTTAGCCGTGAAAGAGGACAAAGAACAGATGTCATATACTTATTGCTAACAAATTACTTATTCATCGGATAAAAACTTTTTTTCATGAGAGCAAAAACAAGAAAACGCCACTCATCTTTTACTAATACAACTTGTGTTTTTTCACATTACAAGTCATTAGTACCTTGTATTCTCCGTTTGATAGAAATTTCCAAATCTCATTTTAATTATAGATTATTTTAATAAAATAATTTTACACATAAATTTAAGAGTTTATTTGAGCACTTTTTTTTGTTCAAAATACATTTTAAAATAATATTTTGATAGAGAATGTGTGATTAAAAAATAAGATTTTTTAAATTTACGTGTAATATTATTTTATTGAAAAATGTGTGTTTGATGGATATTGTTGAGAAAATAATGTATTTTAAATAGTGATATAATGTGAAATATGTGATTAAAAAGTAAGGAAAATTACTGATATGATGTCAAATATTATTTTATTGAAAAATGTGTGGTTGAAAATAAGATTTGAAAGAATGTATTTTTAAAGAATGTGCGTCAAACATGGGCGAAATAATGAATGAGTGCTAAGTTTTTTCTCTATTTTTTTAAGAATAAAACTATTTGTACATAATTTTCCTTACCGAAAATGCTACACCCTCTCACATGTGCTTGGGGCCGCATGAATAAAAAACTCCAAAAAATATGATCTCCACCCTCTATTGTGAGTATAGGTAAAAGATTATATACATGTAGCATTGCCCTTTTTTTAAAGGGTCATGCTATTTGTACATAAGAGGTTGACGATCGAGGCACCGAGGTTGACAAACTCTTTTTTAAATTTACATTCTCGAGAAAATCACGGAGAGACAACTGGATAAGATGTGTTCAGGCAAACAAATTGTGTTCCACTCTTTCAAGTACTCTCCAAGTCTGTCCGTACCACAAGATTGTCCACTTCCGCGCTTTCCTTCATAAACCCTTCATTGCAAGAACCGAACCCGAAATACTCTACCTTACCACAATGCTCCGGGACTTCTGGTGCTTTTGCCCTGCAATTCGGAGCTTCGGCTCTGATGATGTTGCCGACCGGGACCCGGTCCTTCTTGTATCGGGTATTGCCGGGACGATTCTCAACTCCAAGAGTAAAAAATTCGGGTACCAGACCCGGGTATGGGTTCGGATCCTCCTAGCTGACTTGGAGTTCAGGAGAAAGCTCTTCTCCATCTACAATCCCAAAACAGGTTTTTGTTGTGTGGAAGTTTCTCAAATTTGATTTTTTTTTTCTATTTTAATAAAATATTAACTTCATTTTTGCTCTTTTTTTTGTGCTTTCTTCAGGTTACACGGAGGAATTAGACGATAGTAGTGAAATAGTAGTGCCTCAAGATGATTATGGACTCTATGCCATTGATATTTTGGATCCTTCCCCTGTAAGCTTTTTGCTGTTTTTCTTTTTCTGCACCCATAATTGCTTCTGTTCTGTGTGAGCTCTGGCATTTGCATGAATTAGTTCAGCTGCTGTCTTACTTGGTTTTCTTGTTTAACTTCTGACTGTGATTGTTTCTTGCGAAAAATGGTTGTTTAAATTTTAATTGTGATGGAGAATGGATGTTTTTGCTGAGGAAAACGTGATGTGTATTGAAAATATAATTAAGGCTATAAAATTGAAGCCGCTAAGCTTATGGTCGTGATTAAGATATTTGGGCCGTCTTCAGTTGCTGTGGTCGCATGCAGGGGACTTGTAGTGAAGTCATGTCTGCTTTTACCTGTGGCTACGATTCCTCCTGTATCAGAAATGCTAGCCATGCCCAAGGAGATGATTTCTGAATTCTGAGCCGTAGAATCTGGCATTAGGATGCATGTCGAATCCTACAGAAGGATTTTCGAGCCCTAGAATTTGGTGAAGGCTCTGGTACAATATTCACACAATTAATTGAGGAATTAAATTGAGTTTTATTATGTACAAGGTAGCCATATATATATATGTTGGATGCTATGGCCAACAGATTTCAGCTAGTCTCATGTTCACGCCTAAGGCTCCTACAAGCTTGAACAAACCGTTAAAAGCACTTGACCTTTTCCAGTGGTGGGGAGGTGGCCACGAACACTTTGATGGTCCAGTCAACTTATATATTTGGATGTGGAATGAACGGATGTGAGTCAGAAGTATATGTACGGGCACCGAGTGGTAGAGAGAAAAAAATAACAATTGACAAGATGTCTACCGAGAGTGTGAAATTGCATTACCTTTAAATAATACTAGGTGAGATCTTTCATAGTAGAAGAGGTGAAATGGTTGTCATTAGATCAAAGACACATTATCTCAACGGTGGACGCGTCATCCCTTAGGTGTTACGTTTGCATTCTCATGTTCAGAGAGCATTTAATGATTATGACAAGCCCGTCACATATAGTTTACATCTGACATCTGAAAAGTAGACTAATAAGTTGATTGAGGCCTACTTTGGAGGTCACATTAATCAATCGCTTAGAAGATCTTATAAGGAAGATCTCTTGAAAGAGGCAAAGCAAGAAGACGCTTTTGTGGATTTAAAGGCTAGTCGCTTCGAAAATGAGTCGCAGTAGATCGTGACCTTGCTTTGGTCATGGAGGATCGGATTCTACATGATGCCTAGGCTGAGGCGATGGTATCACTTCAACTGCCTTGGTTTGATGGCCTCGGTTAGGCTAGGTAGAATGATGACGTGGAGTGCTAGCTTGAGGTGGCTTACTTATTTCTTGTCCGTGGCTGGGGATTAGAGCTTCGTAGGATGAGGCATAACAATATACAGTGGTTATTGCACAATGAAATAAAAAAGAAACTTGGAAATTCTTCAATCTCTTCATTGATCTTAGTGCCAAATATAGGCGGGCCATTATAATCTTTGTTTTGAATCAACATCCATTTGATTCTCTAGATTGAAAGAAACAAAAAGGTTATTGTTACCAACTCCTGAGTGAAATTTTAGCAAGTTTGAATCGCATTATCTGCCATTTTCCTGTTAATTAATGTCACTGCCAAGAGCGGCTAGTCTGGCGTGGTTTTGTCGTTGTTGTTGTCAAGGAGGGGGCTGAATGGCCGTCGACACTTTCGCGTGCCTTGATCTCCACGTTTGGTTCAACAGTTGAACCTTTATGGTCTAAGGGTGCCAAAATTGTCCAAGCGCATTGTCAACAAATCCATCTGTCGGTGCAATTGTGCAATCTCGTGTCTCCATATCACTTTATACAGAACAACTTCACGAACATTCTTTTTCTTGGATGGATCGTGATGAAGATTTGGATGTGCGCTGTGATACATAAATGATGTAGTGAAAGCAAGAAAGATACAACACACTCCAAAGATTTGTTGATTCCGTGAATACTAGAATGTTTTGGTGTCAAAGTTTCATTAATTCTTCACAAAAATATCTGAACTTTGACAAGAGTATGAGAAAGGCTTTCGAGTTTTATTAATAACAAGAAGCCAACGAAAAACAATGCACACATTAAGTGTTTAAATCGGGAAAAGTAGGGGAAAACCTAATATAATTAAGACATAAACTCTAGTCCAATCAGGGCATAATCGTCCTTTATTAACCTAAAGTGCAAGGAATTAATACAAAAACAAAAGACGATAATAATATAAACCAATGGCTAAGGAGTGTGGTGGCGGGGGTTTCGGCTCCCATCATAAACGATGCATGATTTCTACTTCCTTTATTTTGTGGAGAATATGTTTTTACGACCTAAGACAATAAAGTGCATTTGTTTGTTCCCAACTTCCATGTAATTGAAAACAAGACTATCACTCATAATTCTGGTTGTGCTGTGCATCCTATACATCTATCTTGAGGGTTTATCCCATTTTCGTATACACATATTGCTTGGATTTAAACGGTAGCATGTAAATTGTATCGTTGAGACTGAACAAAATGGTGAAAAGGGTTCATATTGGCAACCTTAAAATTAATTGGGAATAAGACTTAATTTATTGTTGACTTCTTGTTGGGTTTATGTATCTGTGATGAGCATAAGCTGAACTAGATCTCCATGTAGAACAGTAATAAATTTTGTACCTTTTCTTCGCAGTTGACTGCCTATGGAAATCTACCATAATTTCTCTTAAAATGGCAATAACATAATCTATTTTCATCTGGAAACCAAAAGAAAATAGTTTCTTCTGAAATTATGTACCATGTGGCATGGGAGAAATTATCATCTGAAATTATCTACTATATGGTTTGAGAGAAGTCTGACCACTTATATTTTTGTTTGCTTAAAGATTGAATCTTGTAAGCTTGATCAGAAATAAAAAAATGTACACTCTTCAGCCAGAATGCTCTTTTATTTATTTATATTTATTTTTTTATTTGAAAGTCGTTAATTTCCTTCATCTGAGAGTGTGTCTCTCATATTTATTATTCTTGGTGTTCCAGCTGGTAAAGTGTATGCAGTTGACGGATTGTTACCATTTTCATCATATGATTGATATGCTAGTTGGATGTGGGTATAAGAAGGGCACCACATTGTTTGGATATGGTTACGATTTTCGACAAAGCAATAGGTAGTAATTTCTCATGTTGAAATTTCCTATCATTATATGCTGAGTTCTTTTTGGTTTTTGCTTATAAGTGTATCTACGGGTGACTATCTTGCTTTAATACTGTTTTGAGTTCTCTAAACTTATTCTTTAAATCTTTTGAGACTACTTATTGCATTGTTACAGAATCGACAAGGCAATGGATGGCCTACAAGAAAAGTTGAAGGCTGCTTATAAAGCTTCTGGGGGAAGGAAAGTCAACATAATTTCACACTCGATGGGTGGATTGCTGGTTTTATGTTTTATCTCTCTTTATAGTGATGTAAGTCTACGTTAATTAGTGACTTCTCTAATCATGATTTAAGTTAACTTCATTAGTGACTTCTCAAATTATGAACTCAGATTATTTCATATCCAATTTGAGTCTTACCATCAATTAAACAGAAAAATGTAGTCCTTGAGAATTAATCATCCTGCTTTACATAGTAGTTGTTTATTATTAGGGATGGTGCTGTTGTATTTCGGCACATTCCTATGATTTACACACCCGATTTTTCGTCCAAATAAAAATATATATGCTTTTTGTTCAAAGACGAATTTTTTCCTTTATAAAGTCAATGTAGGCTTAACAGAAATTTAAATATAAATTGAATCCAGGTTTCTGAGTTTGTGAATCAGTGTTTTTCTAAAATCGTGCTAACAAAGCTAAGTATTACGTGGGCGGTTGTTCTCGTCTTGACTGGCATTCTAGCTTCTTTTATATTTAATTTTTACTGAACATTCATTGTTTACTAGTTGGTGAGTAAGATCATGTCATCAGGGCATTGTATTAATACATATAAGTAACCAGCTCGATATTGTGAGTATAAGTATCGTGTTTCTTCCTAAATCATAAATGATAACAACATAATCCCTAGAAAGATTTGAGCATAAAATTTCTGATTTCAAGGCTTGAATAAGAGAAAATGTCTAGTCATACATACTTGATTTTGAATTTTGTTTGCTTGCAAATGTTGAATTTTCTTTGTGTCATAATATATGTTCAAACAATTTGACTCCATTAACGATTTCATACTTTATTCATTGTTATTGGAGGCTTAATCCTTGATATAATCTTCACTATGCAGGTATTCTCCCAATATGTAAACAAGTGGATTACCATTGCCACTCCCTTTCAAGGTAAGTATTCCTGTATCAAGTTTGTTATCTTGCTTGTCACATTGAATTTGAAGTATTATACGTGGTTTAAAATGGTGTTTAGCTAGCTGTTTTTGCACTCTGTTAATCATAAACCATCTTCTTTTGCAAATCAATAATGATGATTATTTTGTTTTTTTTTATGTCTACCATTTCCTTCCACCCCCACCAACAAAATAAATAAAGTTGAAATGATACGAGAAAGGTGAACACTCACAATATTCACACATTAACTGATTTTTCTGTTACAATGAGTATACTATATTAATTAAGGTGCTAAAGGATTGTACATCTTGTTCACATAAATTTTTGTTTTCTTCAAATGCTCAATGGCCTATTCTAGTAATCTAAGGATATTCAGGAATCCTAGAGATGACTGTAACAACCGAGTGCATATGATGTTTTAAATAGCTGTTTGAGGCTTACTACTTGATGTGTGTCTCACGTGAGGCTTTCATTAAATACATCAAAGCTTATGCCTCAAGTGACACGTGTTGAGGCTTACTCCCTGACTAACCGAGGCTTAAGCCTCAAGGCAGATGAGGTGTGTAGTTGTTTGTCTTTGCTTTTTCTAAGCTTTTTATTACTGGAAAGTGGGTTCAATTTTTTTTACTATTTTTTATGGCCTAGAACATATTATAGGTTTTTGGTATTCTTTTTTCTTCCTTATTTGCAGGTTAGACTTTAAATTTTATTATTATTCTATTGATGGTTTACTATGAGCATATTTTTCTGTTTATATTCTTTTGAATTTTATTAGTTTGTCTTGACTCTTACTTATACCTCGCTTCATAAAGGTGAAACACCTCAGTATTGCGCCTTATTAAACATTTAATGCAATATTGTCAATCTTTATATTGAGCTATCAGTACTTCCACTTCTTTTTTCCCTTTCGCAAGCATTACACGCTGACCTGATCCCTCTGATATGGTGACATTCAGGGAGATCTCTTACCATTGCAGTCGGTAATCCATATTTTATGTTCATTAGGGCATTTTAGTATGTGAGAGAATCACTCACTGTATTTTTTATCCACTTTGAAGTAGATGAAGGTGGTTTCTTCATATCCCTTACATGAAATACCAGTTGATGTACATTAACATATTATTTACCAGCTGTTCCTCCTCAAGATTTATGCTAAATAAAGCATTTGGCTTATTATTGCTGGAGGTACCATATTGATGGGCTGCCATCTCTCTCCCTCTCATAAATGGTGTGATCATTTAGAACCAACCTTTACAATTAGTCTTGCCATTTTGCAATTGAGTTCTTTCTTGAAATATTCTGTTGCACAACCGGAGCTGTTTATGTTTTGTTTATTTATGTTTTCTTTAAGTTAGCTTACATACTGAACCCAATCTATTTTGAACAGGGGCACCAGGATGCATCAATGACTCTCTACTAACTGGAGTGCAGTTTGTAGAGGGCTTCAAAAGCTACTTTTTTGTGTCAAGGTGGTCAATGCATCAACTGGTAATATTCCCTGTTTCAAGGATTAGTAAAGCTCTTGAAATAATCTTTCTGGATGTGTGGAAGTATATTTTATCCTTCGTTCTTGTTTTCCTTTTCTGTCCTTAATTTGACTCCTTTCTAATTTTAATTTTTTTGTTTGGTATAATGACCATGCAAACCTTCATCATAGGTCTTCACACAATGACCCAAATACTATCTTGCAGTACAAGAGTCAATTGCGTTTTCCAGATTTGTCATATATCAGATGATAACGATTTTTGCAATTCTTGGGTTTGACATTTGTATGCGTTGTGTTCCGGTCTAAACTGTGACGATCCGAGTTCTACGATTCGAGTGCCACTAAATCTTTATCTTGAACTAAAAATAACTATTTTTCAACTTAAAAACTTTATTAAATACTATCACGTTTTGACATCAAATGAATAAATATTCTAAAGATGTAAATAAAATTAAAGTTTTTAAGTAAATAGACGCGTGCATGGTGGGTCTCCTTTCAATTGCCACTTCGCCAACCCTTTCATGCCTTGATTTTCATGAACCATCAATTTCCTGAAAGGGATATAAGGAGGGGGAGTGAGATAAAATCTTAATAAG